TCGTTAATTTTCTCTTAATACAAAGTGATGTGTAACTGAAAACACTGTTGTTATCTTTAATTGATCCACAAAGTATTTGATGTAGTTTCGGTTTGTTTTAACCTAAGACATAGTTAGCGTTCATTAGATTTATTCAAACTGTGCAAAAATGTGTTTACTTTTTGTAGACAGCAGATACGAGCATTTGGTTTCCACTAATAACTCACCTTATATCTTGGTAGATTTTATTCTATTTCAAACTATTATATCAATGCAGTTAGATATTATTTTTAGTTTCCGTTAGTAATAGAGCAGTTTTCGTATCACTGTGAAAAGYTCCGGGTGACGGTTGCGACCGTGATGTTTTCTAGAACTTCTATTGGCGGATTTTTCTCGCGCAATGTGATTGGTCTAACATTAGYGTGATCTTGGCGTGACCGTGTTCTCTGATTGTGCCGTGTTTCGGGAAGTTGATTGAATGGAGAGTAAATTCTCGAGCAATGTGATTGGCGTGGCCTATATCTTGCCTTGTTACGACCGCGTTCCGAGACGTGAGTTTTTCACAGCACAGTCATACGAAAACTGCTCTATCTGTACACCGAATCGAAATATAGCCACCAATTTGAATAACTATTGTTCTGCACTGTCTAGCCTTATGCGCGTTCTGAGGGTCCTGAAAGGGGTACTCCATTTCCCAGCCTGTGTTTGCTCAAATCTCAATCCCATTCCCATTTTTTAAATTTTTTTTTGTTTTGTTTTGTTATGTTTGTGAATCCCATTCCCAGTGCATAAAATCCCATTTTCCCAGCCCAAAAAAGCGAATTCCAACTCCCATTTTACCCCTTCTGGACCCTCACGAGAGGCTAGTCTGTTTGCTAGTCAGTCCAAAAACGATAGTTATTCAAATTGGTCGCCATATTTCGATTCGTTGTGTGTGTGCGCGTGTATAATGAGAGCAAGTGGAGCCAGAATTAATGAAGCCATTATTTCACCAATGAACCCAATCAATTTGGAGCGTGTTATTCCYTTGAGTATCATTTCTTTGTTTAACGGTTGCGCATGAGAAGACACATGAATATGGATACAACTTAAACAAAGAATCTTATTTTCAAGGAAATGAGACTGAAATGGGAAAACATTACGCCCAAATTGATAGATGGCTATCGTTCGCTCAATCTGATTATTAGCCTCCGTTAATGTGCTATCAAACGTTAACGTCCTATCGAACCATATAGCGTGCTAATAGAAGATAATTAGCTCGATAAAATCATTGTCAACCTGTAAAGGCAGACAACAACTGCCCTCGCCCGGTTTGAAGGTACTACGGTTTTCAATCAGTTAAAGGTGCGGTAGAGCGCATACCATATATCCATGAAAAACTTTGTAAGACATTGCACAAATTGGTAAGACTTCATTAGACCATAGACCTACACACTTTGCGTTAATTCGTACACTTTTTTTAGTTTAATTTCGGAGAACAKRGTGAATTGAATGGCAAATGCCCAATGGAAAATTRCTTAGATACTGATCAGTCATTGTATGTCGATAGTGAAACTCGAGAGATTCATTTTTAAGGTGCTGTAATAGGGGCACCAAAATTGCGCAACATTATTGCCTTGCAAGTTGCAGAGCAAATGTTGCTCGTATTGCCACTCCGCGCGCAACACATTAAGATTGTTGCTCGAAGTAGAACCTCTCTCTACTCTTTGCAATAATGAAAATGTGTTGCGCRCGGAGAGGCAATACTAGTAGTAATTTTCCATTGGGYATTTGCCATTCAAKTCACCGTTTTCCATACATCGGTTTACTGGTCAAACACAAAGCATTCAGTCGAGGTTGCAARGTTCAAAYTTGAATAATCCTTTGAAAGTACCTTGGCGCCTCGCTTGAGCGCTTTGTGTTTGACCAGTGAACCAATGTATGGAAAATGGTGAATGTGGAAAACTTTCTCATCGTGGCCCGTCAAGTTTCTTAAATTTGGATGAGCGCGCAACCTTGAGAAAACAGTCTATTCACTCGTAGAATCATGATAAGTCGTTTTTCTGTCATATTTTTTCGCGTTGCGACACGCGTGGCCACCATGAGTACTAATGTACTTTACAGGGGTGGGATATATTGGATTTATGGCCAGTTTAGACGTAATTCTAAAAGTTTTTAAATGGGGTTTTCTGCAGTAAACTCGTAAAGTATAAGCCAGTTTGGAAGCTTAAGTTATTAGMTTCTTTAGATTTTGTTCTTATTCACTCACAGTGAAAGGTGCTATTTAAAAAAATGAGTAGCTYAGTTTAAAAAAATGATTTAACAGGTTAATGAAGGAAT